AAGTAGTCCTTCTATAGCGCTGTCGACCAAAGAGCTCCCAATTTCTATCTAAATGATAGCGATGAGGGAGAGGGACAATTTGGAAAAGTGTTTCGTTTAGATATTTTTTCCGTTTCTTCATTTGTCTTCTCTTTTACTGTTCTTTTGCCTTCTCTTTAGAATTTTCCTTTGTATTTCGTGCTACTTCTTCTACTTATCACGTTCTGAAAAGTCAACCCAGACGTTGAAGAGAAAAATGAAGCAGTCGAATACACAAGAGTTGTAAGTTCAGCGCGTGTGCTTGTCTTCCTGAGTGTCTGGTGTGAGATTAATTTTGCTGCGCTGTCACCGCCAAGTATGGTTCGCCAACTCGCCCAAGCTTCCATCCTATCGACTTAGTGTACTTTACGGGGCTACTCAATGTAATTGCTACTTGAACGCAACTAATCGCAAATCTCTCTCCCAGTTTGTCCCAGTTTCCACGGCCTACAAGCAAGCAAGCACCAGTTCGTTTTTCCTCAAAGGTGAGCATTCCAGATACTTTAATTAGGTGCACGGTGTAAGATAATACTCTTCAGGTGAGGACAGCGCGCTCTTGGCCACGGCCCGATGAAGTTCGCCCTTCACACTCTCTCACTTTGGTTTCAAGCAACGCCAGCAGGTGACTCGTCGACCCGTGGGCACGTTCAAGACGGCTCGTGCCGCCTTATGTACCACACGCGCAGAGCTCCAGCGAGGTTGTCACACGTGCAGAAAGACCATGGTGTACCGGGGTGTCATGACAACGAGATAATGATTTTTTGCTGTCACACAGTTCCGCCGTTTGGCCGCCGGTGACACTGTCAGTCGCGGGCACGGTGGCAGTCGAATGATGCAGTCTTTCGGATGCCCGTCGAACGAACACTATTTGATTCCTCGTGCCGCGCGTTCAGCCCCGGCGTGTCCTCACCTAAAGAGTGTATCTTTCACCGTGGTTAGGTGCAAAGCAGGAACTGTAAAGCCAGACGAGCCGATAGGTTTATTTAATTGACGGAGCTCAGAATGATCTGTGGCAGTGGAATGGAAGCTTATTTTTTCACAATCAAACGCAGACATAATTTTGAATCTATCCAGCTTAGTGAAGGATTGCTACTTGTTGCGAACTAATCACAAATTTTTATTTTGCAGTTTCTATATGGCTACAGCTAGCAGGTGCTGCTTTCATTAAAAGGTGAGGATTTCACATTCTGTTTTCAAACAGCAAGTTTTTGAATGAGGGTCCTAAACAATTAACTTTCTTTTGCAGTAAATGCCAGATCTTCCAGTTCAGGAATATGTTAAATATATTTGGTATGGATAAGCCCAGTGTTTTGCTTCTTTATTCATCATTTGACAACAACAACACTTTTTCTTTTATCACTCAGAAATACACACAAGAAGAGACTGCGTTGCAAAGAAATGTCGTGCTGAACGTGATATTCCAACTCGCATATAGTTTTATTGGTAGCCGATATAATATATTGGATTCCAATATCCATAATACGCTGAGTATATTGGAATCGTAAACCCTTATTGGATCCCCATACGACACATGGGGATCCAATAAGGGTTTATACGGTATTGGATTCCAATATTTTCAGCGTATTATGGATATTGGAATCCCATAACAAATCCTTATTGTAATACAATACAATAAATGTAATGTTTTCCAATACACTGTCTATATTGTATTGCAATACAATAAAAAGATATTGTTTACCAATATCCATAATACGCTGTTTATAATGGGGTTTTCCAATAGGGAGGGCTTTTTAAGTAGTGATTGAGCATGTGTATTCTTTATTAAACAAAAGCTGTAGTCAGCGAAGGTAGTTTATCTGACACCTTGCAGTGGTTTAATTTTCTGGATACATGTTTACAATTGGTCTATTAAGTAGACGGTTTTGTACTGGCGTGGCTCAAGTTAGGCTTTTATTGTCGGGGCCTCCCATATAAAGTCTATCATGACTCTGCCTGCTGCCGGAATGGTTCTCAAAGCCTTTCCTTTGCATAAATTGCCAATATTCCATATTTCAATGCAATAGAAATAGAAAAATGTGTATGTATGTTGCTTGAAAATTATTCTGGGATGTGCATGCATATATTTTTGCTTCATTTTCACATTTAGCAACAACAAATCACTTTTAGTCACCTGTTTGACCTCCGTGACCTGCTCCAAAACCTACTTCTACGGCTACAAAACTTATTTTTGCTGCTCCCGAGCTGCTCTAAAGCGAGCGTTTTACTGCTCCAAAACTGCTCCAAATTGGGACTTTTGCTGCTCCCAGCCCTGCTACAAAAGGCTCTAGCCCGCTTCCACCCCTGAATATGGCTAATCTGTGCCAAACCTGCGCAAAAGGACCAATCTTGGTCGCCTTTCAAAAACGAAACTAAACTGAGAACCGTAATTGAGCATGCGTTGGCTAGGTGGCACAAGACGCTGCCCGACACAAAGTACCCTGCATCAATCATCTATGCAGTCTTGCATGATTTTTCCCGCCGTCTCGCGTTTCGCACTCTCGTCGTCTCGGGAATCTCATCTCGCGTCTTTTTTTCTTTTTTTTAATATTTTAGTGATAGACGCGGCCGTGTGCGCGGACACTCCGACGTTAGTGTGTCGGGTTCCAGACTTGCCGTCATGCTGTGAAACAAAACCACGTTTTTACGTGGCAAGAGTTACTTTGTGCTCACAAAGCTCACAAAGTAACTCTCGTCGCGCGACGTCGTGTGTTGCCGTCCCCACTTTGCTGCAGATATAATGCTTTCTAAACTGAAACGCATCGACATTCCTGCTCTTGTTTAAATCATACGCTGCTATAAAAATCCCTCTTTAACTCAATGACTGCTGTGTCGAAATAATAATTACCTAGGTTTCTCTCGGTGGGCTTTCTCCCGAGAGGGACCCCGGTACGTGAAAAATCTGCCGCGAAAGAATGTTGATGATGAGAAGTGACCTAAAGCAAAGAAGGCAATGCCTGCACGCTGAACCTGCACAGCACGCTTGTTTGTCTCGAGTTCAGTCGCTGCACAAAGCGCTCCAAAAACTTCTTGACCCTGGCTCGCAATGTCTTGCATCGATACGCTCAGGTCCTTTTTTTTTGTGTGTTTAGCTTGTACCTCGCCCACCGGCCTGGCAAGCACGCACCGCTGGACTGTTTGTCGTATGCTGGACAGTTACATTTTGTACATGTATATTATTTTGGGAACCAGTTGGCGACAAAGCGGAGTGGCATGGTTTCGGTTTCGGTTGAACAGCCGTTGTCTCTGCTCATGCGACGAAGCACGTCTAGGTGCAAGCCTGCCGAAGTTGCCCTCACGTGCATGTGAACATGATTGCACGAGAGGCACCATCCACCACGCTTGCAATCTAATGTCTTGCGTTTGCTTACTTTTTATGAAGATCTGCCACGTTGAAAACCAGTAAAACGAAAGCAAGTGTTTTTTTTGTTTTTTTTTTCAGAATTGCTTGGCAACGCTTACAGCACTGTATACTTGTGGGATGTCTCAGCAGCAAAAACACAAGCAGCGAATTCCGCCCAAACATGTCGCATCACAACACAACACAAAGTGCCCTTCGTTTTTCCAGCATTTAAAACAAATATTTATATTTCTAAGAATGTGTGCTCCAAAAGTCACTTTTTCTGCTCCGAAACACTGTTTTCGCTGCTCCAAAAGCCACTTTTGCTGCTCCAAAACACTATCTTGGCCGCTCCAAAGGCCACATTTGCTGCTCCAAAACACTGTTTTGGAGCAGCAAACACCTAAGTGCAAGACCTAAGCACAAACTTAGTGGGACTTGAATGTGCCTATTATCAGTGCTGCATTTGAAATCAGAATGGCAGTGCCCTTATATCTGTCCTTTCAGTAAATTTTACATGATATAGTTCCTTAAGCATCTGTCCCTTTGCAACATGTCAGGATTACAAAATTGTCAAATGATTTTTAATAATTTTAACGACCACATTTTTTTTTCAAAGTTCAGTTTACACTTTAGGGACAGCGACCATCCAGTGGTAGTTTTCAGCACTTTAGAGACGTCTGGAGGCAAGTTGGCTCACCAGATAGCAAAATTCGTTGTCATAGCACCGTTCAAGACCAATTATTGGCTACAATTGGAGGACGACGACCATTCCGAGGTTGTTTTCATCATTTCAGAGACGTCTGGAGGCAGGTTGGCTCACCGGAAAGGGAACTTTGTTGTCATAGCACCATCTAAGATCAATTATTGTCTACAATTGAAGGACGACGACCATTCCGAGGTAGTTTTCATCATTTCAGAGACATCTGGAGGCAGGTTGGCTCACCGGAAAGGAAACTTCGTTGTCATAGCACCGTCTAAGACCAATTATTGGCTACAATAGGAGGACTACGACCATTCCGAGGTAGTTTTCATCATTGCAGAGATGTCTGGAGGCAAGTTGGCTCACCAGAAAGGAAACTTTGTTGTCATAGCACCATTCAAGACCAATTATTGACTTCAATCGGAGGCCGATGACTATCTCGGGGTAGTTCTCAGTACGTTGGAGCCATCTGGAGGCAAGTGTGGTCACAAAATAGAGAACTCGAATATAATAGCACCATTTAAGACCAATGATTGACTATGATATGGGGACGATGACAATACTCTGATTATCTTCAGCATTTGAGTTTTCTCTGGAGATCCCTCATTGCCTTGCAGAAGTGTCTCAACACCTCTCGCGGATGTGTCTCAACGTCATTCTCAGTCGTCGAAATGGATGGGCATTGGCTCCTTTATGACTGCCACTCGTGCATTCTTCATAGAACTTCTGTATCCATTCAAACGCATTTCTTTGCGAGAAAACATTTACATTTCCATAATACTGTGCACAAAGTTTTTTTTATGGATATCGGTATATTCATATATATGGAATTACTGGACACCCCTTCATATCACGAGAACGATGACTGATTCACTTGTACAAATTAAGCATGGGACAGCCATTCTTCCTAGCACCTCAGTCCCAACTGAACTGATTTAACAGATTCAAGCCTGCACAGCAGTGACTGGAGATACAGCAACCTTGTATGAAAAGTGCCGATAAGACAGTGCAGCCAACAGAAGGTGTAAGTTGACCAAAGTGAAATAAGTTTTTAATCACCCTCGTACGACATGGATCCTTCGTAACGTCTGCGTTCTGGCTCCAACTATACTTATTCATTGTTTAGTTTACTTCATGAGCCAATCTTAGTAACGGAATACATATAGCATTTACACCAAGACACTCTTTGTGGCTTTGTTTTAAAAAATGAAAGTTACATTAAAGCGGTTTTGCGCAGGTGAGGTATACGGCCAAGGGAACATAGTATAGGGGGCTAATTGTAACGATCAGTTGGCTAATTAAGTAAAATTCGTTAATTAACTTTTTAATAAATGAAAATAGACATGTGGTTCCAATTAGAAACTTGTTCAGCGTCACCTAAGGCCACTATATCAACTCTTTTTCGAAAGATATAACGCAGGGGCTGTATATTACAGCGTTCCATGAAAACGCTCAATGTGGACGCGTTTCTAGGTTTCGATTTGTTATTGCAGTGCATCTCTGCTCCCACGGTCCTGCTCGACAGTGGCTGAGATGTGCAACACAGTTGCACCCAACTTCCCTCTATGCTACAAGGTAAGCGAGGGAGTGGCTTTGCGCCGCGACTACAGGAGGAGGAGGAGGAGGAGGAGGAGGGAGGGGAGGGGGAGGGGACAGGATTGCGGGCGCAGAGATGTGCTCGGATAAGTAAGCGAAACCTAGAAACACATCCAAATTGAGCGCTTCATTAGAACGACGTAAAATGCTGCCCATGCTTTATGTTCTAAAAAGAGTTGATTTAGTGGTTTTCAATGGCGCTTAGCAAGTTTCTAATTGGAACTATGTGTCGATTTTTAATTATTTAAAAAGTTAATTAACGAATTTTAAATAATTAGCTGACTGATCGTTACAATTAGCCCCAATACTCTATCCCCCTGGCTGTATAACTCATGTGCACAAACCGCATAAGTGTAACTTTCACGGCTTTTTAAACAAATCTGTTAAGTTTTGAAAGAAACACCTGGTATATCTTTGTGTAGGTTAAAACTTTCCTACTTTGACCTTATTATGGTCATAAAAGTCAAAATTAAATGGGTTGTTAGCCTTCAGAGAGTGATGAATCAGTCAGCTATGAAATTAGACTGTTTGTGTCTCCACTGCAGAAAGAAAACTTGCCATATGCAGCATGACTGCTAACTTGGGGTCTTTACATGTAACCTTGTAACTTGACCTTCTGACTTTCTTTGTGCTGCATCAGTCATTATTTTGTTAGCTCATAAAATTGAAGATAGTTAATTTTAGGTTAGTTCAAAAAGCAAGCTGCATTACGGTCTGGTTTCTCACTTATTTTAAATAGTCAGTGTTACGTAAAGTTTCCCCAGATTGGTAAAGTTCCATCTTTCTGTGGCAGTCGTGCATTTCATTCCTCTGGTTCTATTATGCTGTTCTAATTTCTATGCCTAGGTGTTGAGGGTTTTTCTAAGTGTCTGTTAGTTCTGTCTTTTAGCAAACAAATACAAGCTGTGCCTTAGACCTAGACATTGTACAAAGTTTCTTTTCTATTTCACCTGCTCTGCCTCAGATCTCAATCATGAAAACCAACACTAGGATTATCACATTAAGCTTAGGTCATTTATGACCTACATGATTTTCCAAAATAAACCATTCAGATTCCCGATCAGCCTTCATAACCATTTCATGTTTTTGTTAGTACCTGAATTATTTCCTTAAGAAAATAGATGAGCAGATGCTGGAATAAGCAAGGCTTGAGTCTAGGGCTGGGGTCCAGTTGCTTGCCAAGGATAATTTAACCATACATATTTGTATAAAAAATTTCCAAGTGCAGCCAGAAAACAGAAATACTGGGTATTTTCATGATGCCTACTTCACAACACAACTTATGTGCATTGCAACAAAGTGCACCCCAAAAATAAAAGTAAATATTGTATTCAATTTTGACAACAATTTAAATATATCGAAGTGCAAATACAATTACTGAACGATTATTAGCTTCTACGGTACTGCAGAACATGTTGTAACATCTTACCCAGAGGGGCATGGCGTGTGAGCTGTGGCACAGTACACTGCCTGTCTCCCTAGTTGAACGTAAGGCGGTGGCTGTCTTTGAAGTATGAAAACTCACACTAGGTCATCACATTGTGTCTATGAGAACAGTCATCTCTTCGCACCACCCGCCACAGCCTGCCCTAATACAGTGCTGAGCAAATCTCGCATCTTAGTCGTTATGATTTCTTGTCGCCGCTACAAAGTGCGGTCACCAGATAAGTTTCGACTGTAGAACGACACAGTTTTCCGAAGCTAAGATTTTACTCGGGAGACAAAGAAACTTCTCTTAAAAATTGTCCTAACACTAAAAAAAAAAAAAAAAAATAGCCTTTTCGTTGCATTATTGTTTAAATGCGTTGTTCACCGCAATTTAATGACAACGGAAGAATGGGGCTACAATCGGCTGATCGCCGAGATCGTGCACTGCCGCTATTCAACGCGCTGATTGGAAAAAAGGAAATGCGTTGAAAGTAAAAATCTGACGTTTACAACACCCTGTAACGCCGAATTAGAGCACAGCTCTTAAAGAAGACGAGGGAAGGGTACTGAGGGGAGGGTATACCCCCTCTCCCTGCTCCTCCTCACCCACTCATCCTCCCTGCTACTCCTCCCCTCCTCCTCATCTTCCTTCACCTCCCCCTCACCTCATCCTTCAAGCTCCTCTCTCCTCCCCTCCTTCCTTCTCTTCCCCCTCCTCCTCCTTCCTTCCCTCCCCCTCATCCTCCTCCCTGCGCATTGCATCATGGGTAGTGTTCCATAATGCACCGTGCGGTTACGCCGACTCCACTCAAGCCGGAAGCGGGTGCCTAAGAGCTGCGCTCTAAGATAAACAAGGTTGTAAATAGCAATACGTTACAGATATGCGCAAATAACTGCATACGAATAAGCACGCTGAAATAAAAACCAATGGGAAGATGGACGTGAGCCGTGCGTGAGCCCCACATCTGCATACCTTCCCTGGTTAGGGCTAACACACACTGAGACTGGAAAGTCAACTTGAAAACGGGTCGATAAACACTTCACATAATATTTTGCATCTGTCGCAATCGAAGGTCATTCTGTTGAGGCTCTCACGCTGCTGTAGCCTAAAACACTTTGTACAACCAATTTCGTCCACCGTGTAGACCGCCACAAACCAGCCGGCATGTTTTAAATCCAGGATTAAGAAACGACCAAGTAAAGTACCCGATGTTGAGCGCTCACGATAGGCATGGTTTAGTGCTAGGTTTAGCGATAAGTGATTTTGGTGCAACAGAACAAAACCAAAACTCGGCTTAGGTTCCCTGCTAAGCTCTGATTTGCGTTAAGCTGCATTGGTGCAACTGGCCCTAAGTCTCAGACCGCCGCACCTTACTGTCACGACCAAGAAGGCACCCAAAACAGGCAGTAGAAGATGCGGGAAAGGCTGTCGTCTGCTCTCCGCTCCTTATCTGGGAAGCAGCTTTACCGCATTGCACGCGGAGAAGCCGTTGTGGCATGCCGATAGAGGCGTTCGGAGCGCTAACGACAACATGCCGGCGGAGATGACGGAGAGAGCCTAGATTTAAGAGAGGGAGCAGTAAGTGCGCCTGCATTTGATTGTTGCCTGGCCAGTCTAGCGAGAAAACTGGGCAAGAAAAGAGGGACATAAAATATAATACAGATGACCCAGGCTTTTAACTTGCAACAAAATATATATTGGCTTCAAGTTGCTTCCCAAAGCTCCATGAGGGTGTGACACAAAGAAGGAGGGGGAGAGGACGGTGAATGAGAGAAGCAGGGGGCTATGTGCCTATGCCAACAGCTAAGCATATGCAGCGGGAAGTAGTCTGCTGAGTGTCAAGTGACATGACGCCATTGGCTACAATATGTTTGCTTTTTGAAGCCTACATTTTACCTTTTTCTTCCCTTAGTGAAGGCACCTGTATTGTTTTCAAACGTGAATTCTGTTGTTTGATTATAGGGAATGAATTAGATTGTTGCACTTCCATTTTGTGTTAGTTCAATCAATCAATTAATCATTTTATTTGCACCTGTACAAGTACAAATGCTGGGAGGCAGACAAAAAGCCAACAGTTGTTTGCTTGACAAGGTATTCTCTTTCATCTTCTTGACAAAGCGAGCTACAAAAACAGCGAAGAGATAACTATCATATGTCTCAAGAGATAAAAACAGGAAAAAACAAACAAACAACAGAATGAACACTTGTAGGTATGACATTGTCGTGAAAACACTTATTGGTTTGAGAGCCCTGTGTTCTATTTCAACATAGAACACATGGTTGTGCACCATAGAAGTGGAAGTTCGAGAACAGTGATAATATGCAACCACCAGCTCTGGAAAGAAATGCTGCATGTAAAGCATACATACATTGTTATTTTCAGCAGGAGGTCGCATTTTTCGAATGTGCTCTCGCTGCACAAGCATTTATATAGCAGATGCATCTGAGGGTTCTGTACTCAATTGATAGTTATTTTTTAAATTCTGAGTATTAGAAGATTTGTACCTAACAATCCATCTTATTTTCTAATAGCACCCCAGGAGCTACTATCGCCCGAAGATGTCACAGGTGGTCATGATTCTTTGAGGCAGCGGAATTTCACCGGTAAGTTGCCCCCCCCCCCCCCCCCCTCACCGACGTTTTGACATGTGTGCTTGCCTCTAATGGCCCTTTCAGAAATTTGCATCAGGAGCTGTAGCTTTGACAGCATCCGTTGCAAGCACGTTGTCTGCAACGACCACAGTGTGTTGCTTGGACACACATTTGACACAACTTCAGCAATAGACTTTTTGCTAATTACCCAAGCACCAAGGGGAATGCTGGAAACGTAGGTACACATGCTGCACACGCTTGCCTTCTCTGCATAAAGGATTCGAGGCAAAAAACCAAAATAGGGTTTCGAGGAATGTGTGTGCAATGTGCTATTTATTTTAGATTTTTACCTTTGAACAGATTCGCTTGCAGACACCAGCACATGCAGTGTATGTTCATACATTCTCAGCATTCTCTTTTGTGCATGGTTAATTTGGGATATGGTCTATCCTGACATATATGGCAGTATATAGTGTTATTTCTGTGACTGAAGATTCTCTATGGCCATCAGCTTTTTCTTTTATTGGCCATGCCTTAAAAAACGTCTTTTCAAAGTATGATTGGAAGCAGGTAGGTGTTTTTGTTTGTATAGGCTTGATGTTGTTATTATTCCCAGGACATCAATCTTGCAGGCCTAAATAGAAGAGCAAACTGTGATTCACCGCACTAGAACTTGAATACTCCAGTCTCACCGCATTCTTGTGTTGCAACTATAGAAACATACAATAAGTTTCCTTGTGCAGTGTATTACTGCAGAAGAAAGCAGGCATGGTTCACACACTTGCAACTGCCTACAACCGGCACGGCAGTCATAAGCATTTATAGAGGTTTAAAGCCAGTCTTTTAACCTCTCCAGCCAGAAGCAGTCGCAAGTGTGTGAAACAGCCTTTGTGCCTGTTTTATTTCTGTTAATCACTACCCCTGGAATGAGATCAGTTGTGAGCAATTGAAGCAGCACCGACCGAAACCTAGTTCAGGCCAACATCTTTATGCAAATTTTTAATGCACATTCACAAGCCTGTTGAAAGCATTTTACGTGCATAATCTTTTTCTTTCAAACTCACTACAGATATAAGCACTGCATTAGCATGACTCTTCCCTATTTGTTAATTTTTCAGCACACAGTCGCTGACCAACATACTAAAGCAGGCTCCTCTGGTCCGTGCAATTTGCTTTGTAAGCAGTCGGTCAACTGAACCTTCAGTCTATGTCCAATCTGATGTTGAGGTTGGGTATACTGTCCCTATCACGTGAGCAGATAGCTGAAATTGTAGCCACAAGGCTAGCTCCCTCCTCCCTGTGAAAGTAGGGTGTTTTTCGGGTGGCGGATCTAAGGTTTGGGAAGCCAGTGCTTTCCTGTGGCCCTTTCAACCTTCCCTTGACACTTCTGCTTGTACAGCGCATGCTGACAGCTACTTGAAGTATCTTTTTGGTTGTAACGTTTGTCTCGACCACAGTTTTCAAGGGCATAGGAGAATAGTTTCATTGATTAACCCTTAACTTGACACTGTAAGTCAAGCAGGCTGTCATGACCATGCTCATCTCTTATTGGTGCTGTATCTTCAGAGTTTAATGTATTAGCTGTTAATTGAAAGTTGGTTTTGAGGCAAGATGCCGAGTTATTAGGTTGTAAACCAGACTGAGGTTCCTGCAATTTGACTGAGGCTTATTGTGCTGCAAGATCAGTCTAGGTTCACAATACCTGGGTGGTTGAGATGAATCTTCAAAGTTTTGTTCTAATTAAATCTGTATGATTTTCTTTTTTAGCACCTTTCAAGCTAAGTAGTTAATGGTTTTTTTTGTGCCTTGTCTTTTCAGCAGTGCATCTTTAACACCTTCAGTTTCTTTTCTACTGCAAGCCTGGTACTACAGCTTGTGGCCCGTGTAGAAGAATAGAGGGGTGAAACCAAGGCTCAAGTGACTGTGGACTCATGGCCCTCAGACAGCTAGAGCACCAGACCAGGCACAGACCAGAGCCATTTATGCTCCACTTCTAGAGGATATGTTGCAGTTTGAAACTACCAAGACTCATGGAAGCTGCTGACAGGAGGCTGTTGGTATGTTCAGTTTTATTCTTTAGTGGAATTACTTGGAGCATTGTAATTATTTGTGTAATAATGGCAATTCCCTGTTAATATCTGCAGAATATAATTGTTAGATATACATCCTTAGCCATTGAAGATCTGGAACTTTCCACAAGTTCTGGTGGCAACCACATAAAATTGCAGTCATGGAAAACACCAAGCCATATAGAATTTCTGGTTCTAACTGACATCTATCGAGAATCACTCCTCTGGTAGCATACCTCTTGACTTAAAGGGGCCCTGCAATCATATTTAAGCGTCTACCTTCTTTGCGGTTTCCAAATCTATTGGGGTTCGGGCAAGGCAGCGGGCACGGAGAGAGTAACTAAATACCAGTGCGTTATATTTTAACCGGACGATGTGGAAACCTCCTCCACCTACGGGGGCGACCTGCGGTGCCGAAAGCGCGCAATTTGTGTAGTCTACTGGTCAGACCCGCTAAAAGCTTCTTTTTAGTCGAAATACAAAATATAAGTGGCGCGAACCGTTTCAGATATTTATGAAAGTACTTTTTGTTCAGTATTTTAGATCAGAAAATAAACAAATGCAGTTTATAAAGACGGAAACAAGAAATGACTCGTCGACATATCCACCACCAATCGGTGGAAAAGGCGGCGCATACTAGAGGGGTAGTGGGGTCAGGCACCGATGAGCGGCGAGTGTAGAAAGGTCTCCGATGTACGTGGCGGCGCTGCGGTCGTATACGGTTCGAGGATCCGACTGGTTCCGAGCGTTTCGAAGGCCTTTGGCGAGCAGATTTGGCTTGCGATTTGGCCGTTTGGTGGTATGGTAGCGCGAAGTGGCTGCCTTTCTGAACTGATTTTTAACTCGTGTTTGCTATCGTTGGTGGCCAATGAAGTGTCATGCCGAATCAGTGTTTAATCGTGCAGCAAGTGCAGTGCGAGCCACCCTGGCCGCCCGCTTCATACAGCCTAGCCGGAACATGCTTTAGTGGCGCCCTCTCGAGCCATCGACACGGAGTGCGGCAGCCGTGTGTGCTTGTTGAGCTCACTAATCCTGCTCTAGTTCACGACCACTCAAGCGACGAGGACGTCATGAAAGAGGGTTTTTGTGCTTGTTTTTGTATTTTTAATTTGCCTATATCTTTTAAAATAAAGTAAAATTCGTGAAAAGAACAGTTTCATTAAGATACGACATTCAGTGCACTCAGGTTCGGTGCAAATTAAAAACCAGTACAAAAGTCCTTGCAGGGCCTTTTTAAAAATCAGCCATGTAATCCCTGTACATTAAATCAAATCATTTATTGCATCTGCAAGTACAGATGTCGAAACCACGGACAAAAAAGCCAATCTTTGTTGGCTTACTAGGTCCGGGCCCCGAGAGCTTGGCAGATGGTGACGGAGATGCAGGAAAAACAATCAGGGTAATAAATGTATACAGAAAACGCGTTAACTAAACGATTAACATAACTTAATACATGTTATACAAAAAGTAGGTACATAGGTTCGGAGATAGAAATTCACCTCACTATTGTTCTATATCACTCAGCATGATATCTTCAAACATCAATAGATACACTGAGCCTAATATGCTCCTAAACAAAAATAAGCACAGATTTAGAAAGACATTATCATGCAAAATACAACTTTTGTGATTTATACATGACATTCAATTAAATTTGCAACGTAAACAACAAACCGTTGCTATATTCAGTGGTAAAACTGCTGCGCTAATTGCGCCAAACTGTGCCAGAATGAATCACCTGCTACATGCTGCTCTAAAGGCTGTATTTGCGCGCAATTTGCGTCATGTCTGCGCCGAAAGGGAGCAGTTCTCGAAAAGGAAACTGAAAGTGTCTGGCACGGGACAAGCGATGCCACTGAAAGTTAAGAAAGTAGTTTTTTTTTCTTGATGCCTAAGTAGTATGTGCGAAGAATAGAGCTACGCGAATATTTTAATTTTCTAATAGTAGTTTGAAATAATATGGTGATATTCGCTTAAAAAATTAACTGCAATATTCATACATTTCGAAGTGTTGATTGCGGTGGGTTAGCCCCCTTGAGTGCGCTTCTCCTCAAACACAGTTGCACTGCGGAGAAGCAATACCCATGAAGCTGACACAGTGATCTCGCTACCCGCTTCGCCGCAGCTCATTCGCGCGCTTATGCGAAAAGCACATCCTCAAACTAGTATGGTGCACGCGCAGGCCTAATGTATATTAAAAGAAAAAAACAAAACAAAAAAACATAAAAGTTTTGGGATCGTTATTATTACATTGCAGTAAAATCTTCAAAATTTAACTGTGACTATTATTCAAGGGTATATGTTAGAGTCCGTTGCAAGTCAAGGAGGTAGGGTGAAGGTAAGACGGGCCGGGGCAGAGGAAGCAGACGGAACACTTAAGAGAGATTTCCCCCTCTCTTCTCCAGCATTCCATCTGCTTCCTCTTTCCTGGCCCGTCTTACCCTCACCCTACCTTCTTGAGTTACAACAGGCTGTAGGCAGCAATGTTCAAAAAACCTCTGTTTATTGTTTGTGCTTTTTTTAAATTCAGAATCAACAAAAATATTTTTATATAGGCACAAAATTTTTAAAATCCCCTCTATTATGTATGGCTAGGCTCCTTTATAGGCTTAATTTTATGTCAAATTTGTCATTTACTTGCCATCCCACTGTAGGTACTGGACGTTCTGAGGCTACAGTCTATAAATATAGCTAGATTAAATTTAACTACTCATAAGTGGGCAATTAGGAACAACCTTCGTGAGTCCAGCTGAATTTTTGTTTAAGCATGGTGGAACAGTAGTAAAAGGCATGGAGAAAGGTGCAAAAAGTCTTCAATATTCAATTAAAAAATATTCGACCGAAAGAACTATTACTATTCACTTTGAATTTGCTTGAAACCCAACATCTATTTTTGCTCATGCCAAATGAAGAGTTGTCGTCTTTTTCTTTTTTTTTGCGAACGGTGCTCACATCGATCGCAATGAATAGCTACCGCTACTCGTGATCGGTTAGAGTAGCTATGTGCTCCGCTTAGCTGTTCTATGAACAGCAGCAAGTTGAATACGAGGGAGGGCAATGTGAGGCACTTTCAACCATAAGTGTCCGTTTGATGTTAAATTTGTGACAATTACGTCACTGTAATAAAACCCGCTACAAAGTAGCCGAAAATATCTTTTTACGTTAAACACAGACTGAAGATGCCATCGGTACTAATAATAGGTTAATTGAGACTTCTACAAAATTGCTGACGTATGACTGTTCAATAAATAAATAAATAAATATCTGTAAAGGCCAGGTCCTCTGTGGGCATAACACTTCAGTCTCCCAATGCTCCAACAGCTACAGTCTTTTCTATGGGCTAACTTTCGAAGAGATTGTATAAAACTTTCTGACATGAAAGCTCAAAATTGTCTGCTCCAAAACCGATTTTTTCCTGTTACAAGAACTGCTCCAAATCACCTCTTGTCAGTTTCACCACTGTATATTCCTAGACTTCTCAAAAGCATTTGACAGGGTGTCTCACAGGGCCGTACCCAGAAAAAAATTTCGGGGGGGGTTTTTGGCGACAACGGCGGCCATTTTGAAAGTGTCTATTGTCTTATTTTCACCTATGAATCATGTGCATCGGTGGTATATAATGGAGAGTTGCAGCAAACCGGAGAACCGGTCCCGGTTTGGTATCCGGTAGCCGACCGCGCCACTGCGCGTGCGCAGAGGTGGAGATTAAAATCGGCTGGCTGCAAGTGCACCGACCAGGGCCGTACCCAGAAAAAAATTTCGGGGGGGGGTCAGAACCCCCTATCTCCCCCCCTGGTTACGGCCCTGGTGTCTCATAACCACCTTATCGTGCAATGTCACAATTGATCCCTTTATTGTTGCCTGGATTTTCTAATTTGTTTCCAATCAAGTTAGCCGCCTCGGTGGCTCTGGGACGACAGCGCCGGCCTACAGATCCCCAGGTGGCGGGTTCGAATCCCGACCGAGGTGCCCCCACAATATGACGGAGGCTTATTGCGGAGAAGGCGCCGTGTAACCGAGCTTTCGGTTGCACGTCAAAAGATCCCCAGGTGGTCAAAATTATTCCTCAGTCCTCCGCTGGGGCGTGCCAGATGCCTGTCGTAGGTTTGGCACGTAAAACCCCTAAATTTGACTGACTTTTTTTCCAATCAAGTTCAATGCACTGTTATAAATAACTTCATGTGATCCAAGTCCAACTTAACATTGGGCATTCCTTTAGAAAACATGCTCAGACCGCTTCTTTTCCTAATCTGTATCAATGATCATCCTTTTCGTGTTGCGTCCACTATCTGACTTTTCACAGATGACTAATTTACTCCTGTCACAGATGGCGATCATCACTTATCCTTGCAAACTGCCTTATTATCCATAGCGGGTTGGTGTGATAGTGGCTGTTGTCCTCGAGCATAAAGAAATGCAAATTGCTTACATTTGCTCAGCTTTCATTACCATCTTTTTATGTCTACAGTATTAACGATACCATCATCAGCACATTCTTGTTTTATAAATATGTTTTTCTTTATATAACAAGAAATTTTACACGGATCACCCGCATTAGACCTACTATCGGTAAGGAAGACAGCGCACTTGACTTTCTCCTGGACAATTTAATACTAGCCCCTCCTAATAATAAATGCGTTGCATACCTTACCTTTGTATGCCCTAAGTTAGAACATTCATCATCTGTATGGTCTCCATGGCAGAACTATCTTGCTGAAGAATTAAAACTTCTCCAAAAAAGTTTTACAATTTAGTTATTCTGTCTACTCTTCTTATACTACAGTGATGTGATTGCTGCGCCAAGGGCCCAACCCTGCTACATGCTGCTACATTTTGCCGAAATATGGGTGATCTGCGCCAAGCCTGCACCAAAGGACCAATTTCGGTCGCATTTCAAAACCGAAACTAAACTGAATGCTGTAATTGAGCATGCGTGAGCTAGGTGGCGCAAGCGTCCGCCCGACAGAAAGTACTCTGCATCAATTGTC